ACCAAATCCATGGGATTTCAATGTGAATGTCTTACTCGAAGAAAATGGCAAAATTGATGTTAAACTGGAATCTAGTGAACAGTTGGAGTTAACTATAACTAAAACTTCATTATTTGTTTTAAGTTCACTGAATGAGGCGTTTTCTAACGCTCTCACTAAACAGTTGCCTACACGCGAGGATAATATTGTTATTGTCCGTAACTATTTAGGCCTTAATTTGCGTATATTTTTGCTGGACAGTAGTGTTAAGAAACGAAGCGCTGATAAAAGTAGTAAAGCTATTGCTAAAGCTGTCCAAAACGAGACGCTAGTGATAAAAGCCGGGGAAGAGATACCTCTAATCGCGACAGACCTCAAAGAAATAGAGCTTAATATTGGTATTGAAATTGACAGTGAAAATGAAATTACTCGTAAAATTAAATGTCACGGAAATAACATACGGTATGGTATATCTATGAGTTGATTAGTGTTTGTACTGTATTGATTAACTAATGAATTTATTACGGTATTTAATATTTTATAGCTGCTATAATTTGCAAAAAAAGTCATATCCAAGTAATGTGTTCTGGAAATGGATTGTTGAAGTTCAAGATGTAGATGCCTTCACCAAAACAATTACCTTCAAATCAAACGCACAGATTGTCAATCAATTTAATACATTTCTCGATATTTATTGTGTTAAAGGAGAACAACCATTACATTTAGGGCGCGTTAAACCACTTTCTATTCTGGAACTGCCACTCGATGCCATTTACGGTATGATTTGATTTGTTTTATTTTTTTGTGTTAAGAATATATTTGATAAATATATTGAAAATTAGGAGAAGATTGTGAGCTTAAAGTGAAACCGTCTGCTGATTACAAGATTAGCGATAAGATAATTGAATGGCGAAACTCAGTCGACAAAAGAAGTTCTGCGAAACTATGTCTCCCTTTATGTGATTCTCCGTCTAAACAGCCTTTGATTCTGGAGTCGGTGTCCGAGATTATTGCCAGCAATAAGTTCTTCGTTAAAGTCAAATGTGATCACAAAGAAGTGCACTTCGAAGACACTAACGCATCGAATGTCGAATCAGTTTTCTATCAAATAAAACTCATACCAATCGTCAAACTTAAGAATCTATTGCCGTATTGTATAAGTTATGCCACCGAAGGAATCGATCAGAACTTACCTCTAGAGTCCGGACAAGAAGCAGATTTGTCTTCTGTTAGACTCGGAGAGACAGGTCTGGACTCATGTTATGATACATCTATTGTAGACATAATTATTAATCGCAAACATTACTGTATTTGGTTTTTAGGCATTCAACTGACTCTAAATGATTATTTGGAAAGAGATTGGAGTTGTTTTAAAGTGATACCCGGATATGGCCCCGAAAGTGATATCCACTTATGGAAGTTTGTGACCACAGGGCATGAAAGACCACTTTCACTTGATTTGGCCGTTAAGTTATCGGTGGAGAACTCATCCCTAATAGTCTCTCTATACGCGCCCTTTTGGATGATTAACCGGACGTCTCAGCAATTGGTTTATCGCATCGACGACGAGACGGTCTTATATCACGCGCAGACAGTCATCACTCCCGTCCTCTTGTCGTTCAAACCCAAGAGTTTCTTCTGTAAGAAGAAGTTGTGTCTCTCTATCGGTGACTCGAGATTCTCTGACGGCTTCTCCATCGATGTGGTCGGAAGTAAAGGCAATATAATCGCCAAATCAAAGAACGGAAAATTCAATTATTATGTGTCGGTCGACATACAACTGTCGCGAATTGGTTTGAGTAAAATCGTGACAATAACGCCCTTCTACTCGATAATTAATGTGTCGTCGAGTGCTCTGGAAGTGTCTGAAGACAACGACGAGTGGTTCCCAATTGGCAGCCTATCAAACAATGCCTTTTGGCCCAAACGAACCAAACATCAGCAGATTTTCTTGAGTTTGGATTCTAAATCTTCGTCTTCACAAGTAATTCAATTTCTGTCTCTTTTTTGTGACTAATTTATTGGATCTAATTGTTTATTCCAAAGCCTCTGTCATTGTCTGACTCGTCATCCACTTTGGTTGCGGTCAATGGGCTGTACTTCTACGTTGACATCGATATCAGCGAATGGGACGCAACCATCAAAATAAGTGATTATTTTGATGGTTCGGCGCCCGTTATGTTAGTGAATGCACTGAACACTCCCATCATGTTTGGCCAAAAAGGAGTGACTGTCTGGTCATCAAAAACTGGTGAACAGAAACACGTGAATACATTGCCGGCAAACCATTCAGTTCACTACACATGGGATTTGCCTACTGGTGTCCGTCAACTTGTCTGGAAGTCAAATGATAGAGTCGATGAACAGATGGTTGACTTGAAATGTGATGCATTGCTTGAAGTAGACGTCTCTCAAGATATTCATCACACAAAAGTATTTGTGGTTTCATTCCTCGACGGAAAACAAAGAGTTTTGTTGTTTACAAACGACTACTTATTAGCGACGAATGCACTTCAGGTGAGCTGTGGATTAAATGTCATTTAATTCATGAAAAATTTAATTTTAAACATTAATTAATTATAGGCGGGAGAGATAACTAAACCCAAAATCAATGTTGAGTTCATAATGAAAGGAATTGGTCTTTCGGTTGTCAACAATGATATCAATAAAGAGATCCTTTACATAGCGATCACCAGGTTTTTAATGATACATTGGTTGTGTGAAAATTGTTTGCTTACTATCTAATGAATTTCAGTTCCGTTTTGTGGGAATTTCGATCAAAAGATTCAAAGCGTTATAAACCACTTCCCGTTAAGTCAATCGATGCCATCGAGAGCTCATATCAGACGGCTATTCAATCCAGAAATGCCGGACAAAATGTATCCATCGTTTCGAGTGAATCCATGCAATTAGACTTCACTGACTCGGAAGCACCCAAACTGATTGCCCCTAAAAGTGGACAATTAAGGCAATGATTAGATTTTTAAAATGTTTTAATTTAATTTAAATTTATTTGCTTCTGTAGACGTCTGGCAAACCGAGGCATATGGGTGTCCATTGCTCTGTCCGAACACATCGTACAGTTTCATATGAAAGTGAATCGCCTACAAATCGATAACCAAATGCCGGACCATATATTCGGGATCGTTATGTGTCCGGTAGCGCCGCCCAAATCCGTTGTTGTTGATCAGTCGCCTAAGAGTTTCATAGAGTTGTCGACAATTATCATAAGACAGGCGACAATGAATCGATTCAAATACAACTCGTTTTTGATTCAAGAATTTCTCATTCAAATTGACGGCGGGTTGTTGTCAGCGATTCAGGAGTTGACTGAAGCGGCCGTCAAAAAGGAAGACAACACTAAATTGATTGCAAAAGACATCAGAGATATTCTTGCGGTAAACGCCGTATGAAAACTGTTTCAATGAATAATTGTTATGTTTGTGTCAATAGATGAGTACAATCACAGAATCGCTGCTGTCGTCGCGTAAAAGTTATTACGATTTTATTCACTTCTCTCCCCTCAAAGTCCACTTGAGTTTCTCAATGGCCGGCGCTGCGGGCGGACAGTTGCCGCTCGGACTCGACTTCTTTGTGCGGTCGGCCGGTGTGACGCTCACCGAGTTTAACGACGTTGTCTTCAGACTCGACTATTTTGAGCGCAAAAACCTATTACTCGAGAATTCAGAGCTCATCTCAGTTGTGACCAAACACTACACGACTCAAGTGCTCAAACAGTTTTACGTTTTGGTGTTAGGACTGGATTTGATTGGAAATCCTATGAAACTTGCGCTCGGATTGACTGAAGGCGTCGGCGACTTCTTTTACGAACCATTTCAGGGCATAATTCAAGGCCCGGGAGAGTTCGCTGAGGGTATAAGCATTGGTGTCAAGTCTTTAGCGTCGAATGTTGTCGGAGGAGCTGCCGGTGCTCTCGGAAGCATTACTAATACATTAGGCGAAGGAGTGTCGGCGCTGTCCATGGATGACAAGTTTAGACGAGAACGTCGCTCGCGATTAAACCGAAAGATTGGGTTCGCAGAGAGCGGTAAAAATCTATTCAAAGGTGTCATCTCTGGAGTGACTGGAGTTATAACACAACCCATTGAAGGCGCCAAAGAAGATGGCATCGAAGGTATGATCGAGTGATTGCTGTATTATTTTTAGTGAGTTTTTAATGTTTTCTGTTGATTGTTAGGTCTGTTCAAAGGGATGGGTAAAGGCGTTGTGGGTATCATTGCTCAACCGACTACCGGACTCATCGATTTCACTTCGGGTTCACTGCAAGCCGTAAAACGAGCTGTAGATGCCAAGCAAGAGGCCAGACAGATGCGTCCGCCCCGGTATGTCGACCACGACGGCAAACTAAGGCGATATAACAGACATTACGCCTCAGGTGTGGCATTCATACTATTTTTGTCTGGGAATTTGTATATAACTGTAAATGTTTTGGTATTTTAATTGTATTGAAAGGCCACACAATTCTAAAGGAAATGGAAAGCGGGAAGTATTCGACGGATAACTATATAATCCACGTCAGTCTCGGCCCAAACGCTTTGATTATGTTGTCCGACAAACGGCTGATGGCAGTCAAGAAGGGTATGATGTCTCACAACTGGGAGTCTGACTGGTCTGAAGACTGGTATAACTGTCATAAAGTTGCCATTTCTGACGACGGAATGAAACTTAGGATCACAACTAAGGTATCGATCCATTTAAATAATTAATGGGATTTAAAATCCAGCTTTAATTATCTCTAAAATCGTTTCTTACCGGTATTAATACCTTATTTATGCTGTACTTTATTTTAATTGCATTGATTCTGAAATCCTGTTTAGAAATAGTGAGGGAAATATATTTTCAAATAAAAGGAAACGATATATCGTTATTTTCTTATAAGATTTTACAACAATCTCTCTCTCTGCCAGAAATAACTATCTTTTTATTAAAACAATTAAATATCTTGTAATAAAATACTGGAAAATTTAATTTAATGTAATTTTTTTGTTTTGACATTTAAGGAGCAAAAGAAAAAGTTTGGAATATTTTCTGGTGATTCCGATCGTATAATTACCACCAATTCATACGATACAAGTCAGGTGTGTCTCACAATTGTACTCTCAATCTTAACACTCAAATGTTCACTCGCTTTCCGTTTAATTGTTTTTGATATTTTCAAGTTATTTATTGTTTTTATTATTGTTTTTTATTATTTCTAAACTTTTAAAAAGTTTTTATTACTTCACGAATCTCTCGAACGATAAAACTTTTATTACCTTTTTGTGTGTTTTCTCTCTCACTTAGGCTTACCTTTTATTTACACGTCTTCTTATAATTGCATTATTATTATAAAATTAATATAATATAACATAATTTTATTGATATATTTATTGTTTTAAATGAACATTTTTACGCATTTCATCCAATTATATGCACTATTAGTGGATGAATATTGACCAGAAAGTGCCTGTTTATATCATTACTTACAAAATTAATTGTTTTGTTATTCAAATTCACATTTAATCCATTAGTTACTGCTTTTTTGTTATTCGTTAATCGCATTAGTATGTTGATCACAAATTACATGAATTTCTCATATATTCCGTTTACAATCTCTATTAAAATCCGACAATTTTTAATGAATGATTTTGAATCAAAAAAGGTTTAGTAATTTTTGTGATTTTCATTTGATAAGTATAAATATTTGTGTGTATTTGTTGAGAAACTTATTTTAAATATTCAAATGATATGCAGTTTTTATTGCTTATGATTATTAAGTCATTTCATAGTAAAAGCAATTATTGAGAAAAAATATTTAAATAGTATTCATTCAGACGAATGAATGCAAAGGAATTAACAAAATTAACAGCAATTATAAGTTTAAAAAGTTACAGCAAAGCAAATGATTAAAAATTATTTAAAAATTATTTAAAAATACTATTTCCGGAATGCATTTCGTTTGCATAAACTTAATTATGGTTTGTTTTGTCTCTCAATTTTTCATACATTAATAACTTTTGTATAATTTGCAGATGTATTGCCTTTGCATCTAAATAGCTATGCGTAAGAAAATTATATATATCTGTGAAGATTGGCGTAAATTTAAATTACAATTTTTGTCTCTCCCTAACGATTATTACTGTCAATCAAAAACTATGGCTTTAATTGTCTGAGTTGTTAAACCGCTTTAATTATTACTTTTGCATTACACGCCATTCGTAGCCATTATTTCATATGAAAAATTGCTTTTCACGTCTCGAAGTGATTAACAGAGAAATTAATCCTTCGTTTAGTTTTATGGCACTAAAGAGTGTGACTCTTCTCAGTCTTACAGCATTTGATTTAAAGTCTCAATTCGCTCCCAATTTAACCATTAATTTAATGATTTATTAAATCATTTCATTTTTCAAGTTTTCGTTTATCTTTTTCTTGATTTTAAAGATAAACTCTTATGCTTTAAATGGTTTTTGATTTTGAATAATATATGATTATTGCGAATAATATTTATTTTTATGACATTTTAGAAAACAATTTTTCATCGATTCATTGATTATTTTTTCAATTTATTGTTTTGTATTTGTATTCACGTAATCCTGAGCTCACAGTTTGTATTCATGTGTTGAAAAAATATTTTCGTATAATATATAAGAAAATGCATTTGAAATTCACAAACTCCAAGATCTTTATGTCACAACACATAAGTTACAGCACTTATACTGCATTTCATTATGAGTTACGTGTTTCCACTCATTCCCTACCGATTCTTCACACGAATTATTCGTTTGTTTTATTCATACATTGAGTTGAAATGTCTTTACATTTCCATTAGTTATATACACTTATTATTTAAATCAATAGCTGTTAGGAATTTTTAACACATAATAGTTTATTGAAAACTATTACTTGACCAAAAATATACTATAATTAATAATTATTAATTATCATTGAATTGAACTACATTTAAGTTATTAGTCTAATCCTTATGTCAATTGTTAAAAATAAACATTAATTCATTACATTTATATATTCATAATCATACAATATAATATGACTTTTGACAGTAAAAGTCATATTATTAATAAGTTTCTATAATTCTTATTTTATGATTTATAATAAAATATTTTTAATTAACTATTTTCTGTCAATTAAACAGCGATTTTTAAAGTTATTAAATTTTATTTTTTGTTGTAAACAATATATTAATATTTCAATCATAACTCGACGACTGAGACATAAAAATTGCTAAAACAAGCAAAACTTGAGAAATGATTTGTTGTGTTCATAAATTTCATTTAATTTAAGGCTATATTTCACTGTTTAGAGCCATTTCCAAAAGGCATATCATTTATGAAATTGGTTTTTAAATATTTTTATTGTTTTTTATTTTATAGTCCACTGATTTCTCACGTTATGTTTCCAAGTCATACAACTTATTATACCTTAGATTTGATTCTTATTTTTAGCGAAAAATATTCAAATATATCATTAATTTTAAGATTAATTCTGACCTTTGATCGAAAGCTAACAAATATTCGCATATTTATTGCAATTTCTATCATATTTCAAACTTTCGTCAAA